GCACAAGCTGGATAAGAGAGATTGGATGCTAACAGAAAAGAAAGTAATTATTGTAGTTATATTAAACGATTTAATATTTTCCTGGGGCAGCTGGGCTTGATTAATAGGATTGATAGGGGGAGGTTTCAGCCAAGGAAAAAATGTTAGGGTGATGGACATGTGGAATTCTGGTTTTAAACTAGTTGGGGGCTCCAGCTGGACTTGATCTATAGTGGGAGCTTAATCCTAGGTACGTATTACAGGTAACTATATAGATTACACAAAGGTTCTCAGTGTAATCATACGTTATAAAGAGATAGATATCAATATTCTCTAGACAAAGAGGCGAAGTGCAACTTGTTGCACAGTGGGAGGCCAGCAGTGACGCGCTGTCTAAGCTGCATTGGGCTTTGCAGGTTGGAAGCTCAGGCTGTTGAATGTTGTGACTGCAACACATGTTCCTGCTATCGTTGTTTTGTATGAAGGAGCCTCGCAAACAGTCGTGTTGCCAGTGCTGGACCAGCTTTTGTGTCGGACTTTTGAAACAAAAGGGAAGACGATCACATCTTTACTCCAGGCTAGGGGCCCATATCAATGAACTGGTTGAAGGGAGAACAACGGAAACCATGGTTGTTCCACCAGATGTCCTGTAGATGATCAGCATATTATATCAGTATGTTTTGGAGAGTTTTTGCCCAACACCCAGGGGTACACACTAGGATACACTAGGTGTGTCCCTCAAAACTCTTGGTATGTCACAAAAAACTCGTGCAAAGTCAGGAACAACAACAGATACAATATGATATATATATATATATATTTGTTTACATCTTATGCAATTACACTCCTCCCATGAACAATATATTAGGATGCACATTTAATATACTAGATTATTGTTTAATCCTTTATTGTTCCACCAATCCTCCGGATCCCGTCTCCCAGGTCCGGACGGGCGGCCTTGGTCTTCGTCTCACACTCTACAGGTCGATCGGTCACGTCGGTCACGCCGCGCTTGCGGTCACCGGTCACGTCGATTCAAAGGGGAACCACACAAGGTGTCACCAGGCAAAAGTCCCTGAGGGCCCTGTTCCACAGTTTCTTTTTCAACAGCCGGCCCTGCTTCAATGCCACTTGCGTTCAGTTTGAAGACGAAAAGACGAAAAGACTCAGTTGGTGACTCATGTGGTGTGAGCGGCCAGGTGTGGCTTGCGTTTCGTTATACCAGTGGAGCTGTGGACAGAGGTGAGCAACAGCTGGCAGAGGTAACTCACCTTTTTTGCCCATTCCAAGAAGAAGCCAAAGCTGACTAAATTAGTGAAACAGTTTACAAGTCACAACGTGCTAGACAACTACTTGTACTGTCAAGTTGACTACAGTTGACCACAGCACTGAAGATCAGTGTTTGAAATAAAGAGGACCTAGGGACCCAAACTCACCTCTTGTTTATACACTCTCTTTTGGTCTGTGTTCTTCTCATCAACTTCTAGACGCACAAAAAGGATTGTTTATCGCAACCAAAAAAGAAAGGATTGTGTTACAAAAGGATCATGAAAGGTTGTTTTTCTTTGCTTCCTCTTGGCGCCCTCCAACTCACTTGTGTGAGGCTTCTGGGCCTTTGTCAGCCACTGACATAGGCTTGGCGCTGGCGATTTGGGCGGTTGGGAGCCCCATTTTGCCACCCTTTAAGGGTGCCCTAGTTCTTGTAGCTCATAGGAACTGAACTCCAGGCGAAAGCATCCGCAGAATGTCTTTGGAATCTTTTGGAATGGATGTTCAGTGTTTGCCGTTAGGGCAAACGGGGATAAGAGATGATGAGAGCAAACGATCTTGTTACATGCACTGCACATAAGCACCAAAGCACCAGCAGTTGTAAGGACATGTTCAATACGCTGGTACATAGCAACCTTGGGAGGATACAGACTTGGACTTGGATAGCCAACCCAATTCAAGTTTTCACCGGGAAGTCGAAGGGGAAGTACACGTTGATCCATTCCCAACGTAGCACTTGTTCCTAGTAGCTTCTTGTTACTACTAGTAAGGCACTTGTTACTACTAGCGTGGCACTTGTTCCTAGTAGCTTCTTGTTGAGGATGTCACTTCTGAACACGTTGATCCATTCCCAATGTGAGCTGAGGCACCACCGTTTGTCATCTCTCTCCTTCGCAGTGGCTGGTTGGCGCTGTCCAGATTGTGGGCCTCAATCTCAGTTGCTCCGCCCTACGGGGCTCCCCTGGATGTGACCCGAGCGAGGCAACGTCAGCAGACGCAGCTCCGAAAGCTGCTGCCACTGAGAAGCTCCAGGAGGTTCGAGACCGACGCAGTGGAGCAACACCGCTGCAGTGGTCATCATTTCCGTTGATCCGGCAAAAGTGGGCTTTTCACATCATAAATGGGACAGATTCCTGCGGTTTCGCTCTCTGCTGGTACCAGTGACAGTGGTTTCTTGATGTTTCTTGGGGGGTTCAGAGTTCAGACACACCCGAAAGTTCCTGAAGTCCTCAACACCAGCTGAGCTGGTCGTGGCACCGACAGGAGGCCGGCACACAGCGAATGCTCGTTGCGGACGAAGCTCGTCGGCGTCGCAAAGACGAGGAGGCTCATTTGGTCGCTGCGACGCGATGCGACGCGTAGAGATGGTGCGACGCGGTTGCGAAGATCGACGATTGACCTGTCAAAGTTCACCAAAAAGCTTGTGGATGCACTTGTGGTACATGGATAATTACATATAGAATTACTGGATTGTGTTCAAGGGAAAAGAAACAGTTTCAATACAGTTTATCCTAATTGATGATGGTGTTGAGTTGCTGTTTTTCTTCTGTTTCGGTATGTGAACTTGTTCGTGGTTCTTGCCTTTGGAGGCATGTTTTGAGACATACAATGACATACAATACTCTCTTTAGGGATCAGATATCGGCTGTGTGAGTGGACCTTGCTGGCAGTGAGATGAATCAGGCACAAATGTGACGGTGTGTGATGGTCGTAAGCCATGAAACATCATGAAACATTTGCCTATATAGTCCGACCTCGACACGGCAGAAGCAGCACCAAGCACTTGGACCAGACTTGACTGGACCACCAGAGCATGGGAACCCACGAAAGAACTGCAAGGCCATGAACGGCTTGGTGATTCTGGAGGCCCTTTACGGCACATCCTCTCCACCGTCGTCTGAAGAAGGAGCTGACAATGTGGTGCGGAGCTAAGCTTCGAACGTGTAGCTCCGGACGACGGGGACGACAATGCCGAGGATGTCACCGACTGCCTCATGGCTCGAGTGCGACAATCTCAACTGCAACTGAGTGCCACTCGGCCGCAGGGGGAAACTCGCGCGTATCGCAACATGACCGGGGGCTTCCCATCCCGGTGCGAGAGAAGACTGATGTGCAATTTCCAAGATAAGAACTGGACTTTCGAAAGGAGAAACATCGAGTGTCTATCTTTCATTGAGTCGAAAAACACGCTACACTACCAGACGATCCGCCGTCCATCAGCCACCCTCGCAGAACGCGCCCAAGTCCACGTTGCTTGGCTTTGGCCACCACCAGGCGGGGCCAAAAGTCCCGAAAGCGCTCCAGAGCTTCTGTGGCACTTGTGATCTGGAAAGAGCCATTCCAGCTGAACAGAGGGTGATGTCTTTTTGTTGCAGAGTTCACCAATCGGTGGGGCCAACAGAGGCCATTGCTAGAAGATGATCTTCCATCCCCTTCCATCAGCAATAAGGATCTAAACACTCTGACGACTGTGACTGTGAAATTCAGACAGTTTCGCTATCGCCGCAGGCTGGAGACTCGGCTGTCCTGACGATTCGTTATCGCTTCGGAGGCAAGACACGCCGCACGAATCTGGTCCTCTCATCAATACCCACCTTACCACCTCCTGGATCCCCCTGGTGTTTGGGGGGTTCCCCACGTGGCGAGATGATGGGGAGAAAGAAAAGCTCTGAACTAGCTGGAATGATTTGTCGCATTCATTGCAGCCCTCAGCCTACGCTTTGGCCATGTCATAGTCGGCTTGGCAGGTCTAACCTACACTCGTAGCTTTGGGGAGAAGGACGTTGTGATCTTGCCTTGAAGAAGTTGAATATTTTGAGCTGTCACCAAAGTCTCCAGGTCTTCTCTAGGAATTTCAAACTTGAGTACAGTAATTATTCCTTTCAGAGTTCGTCAACTGATTTTGGTTTGGTGCAGCTCAAAATGGCTCGACACATCGGGCGCCTGACACGGGTCACGGGTCGAGAAACCGTCCGGGATCCCGTTTTCCCCCTGACTCTCGAAAGGGAGAGCCGACTCCGAAAAAGCGCACAAAGGCGGCCAGCAAGTACTGTAGGGGCTCCTGGGCTTACTACTAGGAGCAAGAGGATGCCCACTAGGGGCTTCAACACGGACAACGCCCCGGGGGGCCATGCATTCTCTCCACTGCCCTGGGAGCGGTTGGGTGGGGGACTGAGACGCTCGGGACGGAAGAGTGGCCATTGGCCGCCCCAGAAGGACTCAGAACATGTAAGCATGAGAACGTCACGCAAAGCAAGATGTCCATTGCTTCGCCAACAAGGACTGTGATGTTAGATGAGTTCATGATATTTTTCTGATATGTTGGTGTGTTGTTTTTTGAATCAGAACTAAATGTTATTTCTCCAACACCCATCATGCATGTCGATCAACTAGCGACCACATTTGATTGCCATGGGTGAAACATGCCCTAGTGACTATTCGTTTTGGGTGGTAGACCTGTAGTGTGAGGGAGACAACCTTGTGCATTGCTGTGGTGCTTACGGGTGGGGTTTTGCGCAGCATTTGCTGGAGTTTTTGGAGCAACTTTGAGGAGCACAAAATCAGCAAGAAAGAGTTCCTGAATGCTTAAACTTCCTTAGCTTGGATTTGGTTTGCTGGATTTCCAACAGAATCTTGTAGGCCTCGCATCAACCTTTTTCCACCTATTATGTTTTCAATTTGGATGACAGATCATGCATGGCAAAAAGCTTGCAAAAACTTGAAAAGCAGACTGTGACTAGCATGGGACAGCATCTAGATTGGACATGGATAGCTGAAAGCAACCAGCCGCCAAGCGGCCCGCCAACATGACACCCAGCTGACCACATCAGCAGCGCAAGGCTTCGTTTTTGTGGCGAAATGGTTTTCTGACAGCTCATATTGGGCCATTTGGGAATGGCGGGGTGGCCATGGGATTTGTTTGATGTTCCCTTGTCTAGCATGGGTTGGGTTTACAGGGTTATTCTGGAGGTAGTCAATGGCAGTGAACTTCGGATGGTTCTCCTGCAGAGGTTGAAACCGAGCCTACCATCAGATGATGCCCTGACTCCTTAAAGAAACGTAGTGGCAGTATGTATGTATAATGGTTGATGTTGCTTTCAATTGGCTACGATTAGACCAGAGGAAACGGAACCGAGAGTTCTTTCCAGGCAGAGATGGGTGAGCAGTTCAGATGGAACCCTTCAGCTGCTTGACTTCAGACTTGGAGATTTGGAGCTGCCCTGGGCAGGTGCGTTTTGATGCAAAGCTTTTGTGGCAAGACCTTCGTCACTCCATATACCTCCGGGATCTCCTATTCTCCTATTCTCCTTGCCCCGCTAATTCTATGGAATGTTCGATGGCTCAGAGCCGTGAATGTTCTATGGAACACTAAATGAATCAGTATTTTTTTACGTATTTTTTCCAGGGCTCCAAGTACCTTCTGAGAAGGTGTTTGGGGTGGGTTTGGAGGGTCCAATTACCTTCTGAGCAGGTACTTGGAGGCCTAAATAGGCTATAGATATATAAAAATATATATATATATACAAGTGTGAATAACTTATGAAGCAATATTGCCTCCACAAGCCTAGGAAGAGGAAATGGGGCAGATGCTGCTTCAGGACTGTGGGACTGGGTTGGATTGCATAAGTCAGCACAGCCATTGAAATGCGGGCTTGACCGCACGTCGACGTTCCGTCGACATACCAGGCCGTCTACATGGAGGACCAGGTCCAACTTCAGCCGCCATGAAAGAAGATGAACATTTTGTAGCCTGAACATCTGTAGAAGCAGAAGCAAGTACTGTACACAGAGCGTGTAGAAGCAGAAGCTCAGATGGTGCAAGTTTTTATAGCCAAGAAACCTGGTGGCTGTCGTCCATGTCCTCACCCACTTCAGTGTCAGGTCACACTGGATCACTTGATTAGACAGAAGGTGCCGCAACTTGTGGGCATGTCGAGAAAGAAAAGAAATTCGATGGTTTGCGGATGTTTGCGGAACACTGACATGGTCTTTCATGTCAGAAGGATCAGAAGCTTTGGCTGGGCGCCGTTGTGACGGGCTCATCTCCAAGATGTGGGCTACAGATGGCTACAGATTTGAAGCAATGTGTTACATGTTTGATGTTTCATGTTCATATATCAGATGGTCTACCTGTTACTACCTGTTACCTGTTTCAATGTGTTTCATGGAACGCGAGCCCACAAAACAAGCTGTTCCTCCATGTTACCTGTTTCATCGCCAAAGACGTTCGGACACAGACGTTCGGGACTCGGACTGGAGAAATTGCATGCACCCGACTTTTGCAAAGGTCGCAAGCATCACTTAAGCAAATAGATCATCTATGCAAATAGTTTAGGTAGGTGTGGGACGTTGTACCGCATGAACTGTGAGAATTATATATGTACCAGAGGCACGAGGAAGCACTTTCAGAAAGAGACTTGCTGTGCTGCTTGAGCATCACCCACCATTTCATTCCCACCTTTCTTGTACAACCCCTCGGGCCAGAACTTACCCGTCATGCCCGGCAGGCAAATCTAGAGGCACGAGCACTGACCTCAATTGATCGGCTTGTGAAGCAGTACCCCCAAAAACACGAAACTGATGACGACTGATGAATGATCAGCTTCTTAAACTGACGAGTCCCATGGTGCCAATGTCCTAAACTTGAGAACTATCAGCTTGCCACGTGTGCAGACATTATCCCAGAGTATAACATAGTATACATGACCTCGAGAAACCTAAAGTGTCAAAGAGTTTGGAACCACAGATATCAGAGAAGCGTGGAGGAGAAAAGGAAATTCAAACGAACGTCCAATCACACTACCTTCCTGAATCCAAAATCAGCTGTGTCATTTTCTGAAAGCTTCAGCCCAGGATGAGACGGGTGCAACTGCTTTGCATATTGCATGAAGCTTGGAGTGATGCATGTTTGCCTGGTTTTCCCTGCGACATGAAGCTGGTACGTGCTGCGGCATCATGGTGGGAACGGTCCCACCAACTCAGGCTGCAACCAGAAATATGTCCAAGACCGTTTCGTGGCTTCTGCGGCATCATGCTACTTGGCGCGATGATGTTTACAGTATTGTTCTTTGAGATCACCATCATGTGTAAATACATGTGAAGAGAGACTGTCCGGCGACTCCAGGACCAGGTTTGGCGTTGGAGAGATAAGGGCTGGAACCGATTGAGCGGTTCCCGGTGCACAGTGCTGGTTTTGGCCGGAGAACGGCGTAACTTACGGGCTCCCTTCTGGGAGCGGTTCACGGGAAACCCCAAGCGCTGCACGAAAGACCGCCACAGGCCACTTGCTCTTCGAAAGATGGTTCCAGCCTCAGTGAGCTCGTCCTTGGCTCGTAGCTCGGCCTTCGGAGGCGGTCCGACCGGACCAAGACACGTCTTGGTTGGGCGGTCCTGAAGAGGCACATGGATGGTTTGTTACAAAACATTTGGACAGCAAGTTGGACACATATTTACAGTAACTATATATAGACTTATAAAGAAAGATCAAACCAAGAAAAGGTGGACTTGGCCCCCCTTGAGAGAGGCCTGATCAAAGTTAATTATGGTGTTCTTATTGCTATATATAATACATTATAATGTAATATGTATTCTGTATCACATTATATAATTTAGATGTAACATGACTGTACACCTTTACTACCTGGCTCTCTTGCAGTCATATTGCCGATGATTCGTTGGATGCGCTTCGGACTAGCGAGTGTACTGGCCTGTTCTCGGCGGTTCTCAGCAGCCTCCCTACACCCAAATGACAAATGACATGTGCAATCCGGTGCGCATGTTTGAGGCGACGGCTATCAAGCTTTGACTTGGGCAGTGGGCTTATCCGCTCCAGTTTGGTCAGGAACCAAACATCAAAACCTGATCGACATTCCTTCATGGTCGAACATGTTTGACACCACCGCAGGGTTAAAGAAATCTCCCAGTCCAGCTGACCACTCAAAGTGATGTCACATCCATACCACTTAGCGAAAGAAGGCCAACCTAGCACTTCGAGGCCTGCATCAAAGGCCATTTGCAGATCGTCAAGATTCTCTTGGAGGTGCGGTGTGTCCCAGCGCGGTGAAAAGATTGGGCCGAAAGAGGCCAAGGGTACAGCGATCTGCCACAAAGGCCTTTTAAGGGGAATCATTGAGGCGTTTTGGGGTCCATCTTGGGCCCTAAGCAAGAGATCCTTTCGATTCTATTCGGCTTAACCGAATTCATTGAGTGGCCGGCAGCCGGCATGTTCATAAATCAGACTCACAGACTCACAGCTGTGAATTGGATACAGTCTGTGCTGGCTAACTGTTAGGGATTTTGCAGCCCAGGGGGCTGGCATGGCTGGCACATAGCATCTGAGGCAAGAGCAAGTATGGATGAAGCTGCAAGCTCCACCGGCAAGACTCCGCCACTGGGCCTCGAGAGTTCTCGGTTTTTTGGTTTTTGGGTGGTCGGTAAGGGCCTTTTTCATACGGTGCCCTCGCCTTCTTTCTTTTCCTCTCATTTGACTCCATTCAATGCCATACATTGAAGAATGCTCTTGGAGAAGGGTGGGACATGTCCAGGGTGTTTAAGGTAGTCCCAAGAAGTAGTGTTTCCCAGCTTTGCTCAAGGCTTTCCTTGGCGGCGGAAAGAGGGCACACGCAAGTGGTAGAGGAACTCCTGGCAAAGCAGGCAGATGGTGTTCGGATGCTTTCGGACATTTGGCTGAACAGTCAAGAGGAAGACTCGGGCGGATTTGATACAACTTTCCTCCACAAAAAACTATAGTTGTCACGCAGGGTCGGATTTGCGAATCGGTGTCTCGGCTTTGTCATTGAAGAGTTCTTTGGTGCATCCACAAGGAACCCACCAGAAAATGACTGGTGCTATGCTCAAAAAGAAAACAGAGCCATGTCGTGTCCCCCTGATTCGCTGCTGGTGGCAAGCGCTTCTCACTCACTTCGACCGTCGCGCCGATCTGAACAGGCGCAGGTCGATCAGCTGAACAGTGATGGCAGCACAGCGCTTCATGCTGCCGCCCATCAGTCGGGATCCCCATCCTGCCGAGATCGCACAGGTGGGCCTGACCACCCCAGTGGGTCATGGTAAGTAGGTCATACAGGAATTCACCCGTTTTGCTTGCTTTGCTTACCCAACTGCCTGGATTTTTGATAGCTTTCTTCCTGAATGAACTCTGGGTCGTCCTGCAGAGGCGATGTTATATGTTGATTTTGTTCGGCAGAAGCACCGGCATCAGACACCACCTGTTTGCAGTGTTTGATGCTTTAGAATTTAGAGCGATTGACGTGCAAACGTCGTGGCCGCTGGTGTTGAGCTGCTCAATGTGTTTTTTGGACATGAAACACCGCATGTCATGTGCCGCTCGCATGTTTCTTGTTGCCAACCACTTAAGGTGTGAGGTTGAGATCGTGGCCTATTTGCTGTCCAGGACGCGAAAACGAGAAAAGCAATAATAAGATCACCACACACTTACTAGTTCTCCGAAGACGTTTATGGTCAATGCTACACTGTGTTTGGGGTCAAATGCATGGTCAAAACACATCAAACGAAAGATAAATCACCCACTAGTCACTAGTATTTGCCACATATCTACAGTACCTCTAGGCTCTGGCTCTTTTCCTGAGCCCGTCGGTCGGTCGCTTCTTGAGGAAGTCTCTGGTGAACACCGTGGACAATGAGGGCTGGACTCCGCTGATGTGCCGACCGGACACCGGGAGGACCAGGACCACCGGACCGAAGGGAGGACGGTGGGCGGTGGGCGGTTGGTGGTGGCGGAGCACTTGCCTGAGCACTTTGGATTTCACGGGGTCCAACATCTATAGGTGTTTTGTTTAGAAGTGATTCAGAACATGACAGGACGGTTCAGTCTATCTATGTTTATTCAGAACATGACAGGACGGTTTCCGAGAGGGTTGATGTCTATAAAATATGTTTGTTTACGGCCCTTTGGGGGGGATGGTGTTTGAAGTGGGATCCAATGCAAACTGCCGCTTTGGAACGTGAACCTGCTGCGAAGGAACTATGCATCACGAAAGTATTTTGCATGCTCGGAGAATAGCCTATTAATTAGAAGGAACAGACAATCATTGAGCATGTTGTCAACGCCACTGGAAAACCAGGTATGCCATGAACTCCCCTGTGGCAATTTCAGACGGCGGCTTTGCTGCAATGCTTTGGTGGGCTTGGTCAACTGTCAACCTAATCTTGGATCGGAAACCTACATTGTTCCAAAGTACCTGTCAAAGGTATCCACAAATTGAAAATATTGTATGTTCTTCAAATTCACCACAGCCACAGCTCTTCCATTCCACAACAGCTATTCCATTCCACTATACACAGCAACAACTAACAACAAGGAGGACCAGGAGGGTACCTGGTTTAATACCACAAGTAAGCAAGGATCCAGATCCAGAACAAAGTGGTTTCTTTTGTCACCCCAAAACAGGTCAAACAAGACATCATTATCCCAGGGCTACCTAAGGTACCGCAACGGCAAGTGACAGTTTGAATGAGCATGCATTGTATGCATTCATTCATGGGCCGTGATGGAGCTAGGAATTACTCGAGGGAACCAATGATTCCACGCAAATGCCCATGCGTGGTGAAGGCAACAAGAGAGTTTTCTCAAGCTTTGCATCATCATAAAGAGAAAAACACACCAAAAATGAGCAAACAAACAAATCTGTGATTCATGCCTTTCTACTACTACCATTCTGGAGATTTCCAAAAATAAGGAATACACCCGGGTCCATTCTCTGCATTTGGAGATCTTGGACCCGGTCTTTCCGAGCATTCGCCACCTCACCGTCGACTCGCAAGGTCCACGTCCGGAGCTCGGAGAGCGCAAGGCGCCGGGGTTGGAGGATGGCGGGCTTCACTCACATCGTCCTAAAATAAAATGGTCTTGGCATGTTCCTTGATGCATCCTGATGCTGTTTGTTCCTTTGGTGCCATGTTTTTTTTTTTGTCTTTCCGGGGATGTTTGCTTGCTGAAGTGTGTTCCTGTTGCCAGGTGCAGCTGGATGGTGTGGTTGGTCGAAAATCAACGCCTGATGCTCAGGGTTCTGTGGTGTTGACATCGGTGTGTATTTTAGATAGTAGGGAGATCTCCCATAGTCTCCTCTGGTTCGGAGGTCTCCCAGAGTGTCACATTGATTGTCCAACCTCACTATGTTGCAGCACCTTTCTCCAACATAGCATCTCAACTGGACGGTGGACATTGACATGAACCAAGGCAATTGTTTCCTTGGTTAGTAGTGTGGATGCCATGCTTCATTGCAATAGCTGTTCATGACAAAACGTTGCCTCTTAGCTGGCCTTGTGAAAACGGCCACCAAAAAGGCTTTCGGCGTAAGCACGGGGGCAGAAAGCTCGTGTTTTGATCATGTTTCAACCCACCACCACAGCCCAACAGCGAAACCACTACAGCAGCAGCAGCAGCAGCAACAGCTACAGCTGTTTTTGCTTTCGGGCAGGAAACGCGTAACTCCAAGGCTGCTATTTACGCTGCTTTGGGCCTTTGACACTCCCCCAAGGATTCCCAAAGATGCCTAAGGACCAGGGGGTAATCAAGCCCAAGGCCAAATCCAGGGCGACGCCTTTCCCAGAATAAAACTTGACGGTGCTGCCTCAGAGAAAATCATGAAACATGATGAAGCATGCACTCCCAAGATGTGTTTCCTTTGTCGCTTTCCCGGCCCTCACAATTTGCAAAAGAACCTCTGCGGACATCAGACCGCTCCACATTCGCGTTGTGGACACCGACCGCTCCATTGTCGGCTCAAACAAGGGCCGATCAGCCTAGGCTTGAGCTGCTGTTGCTCCACAAGGCGGATGTCAATGCCGGCAACCCAGGTCGACAAGGAATCCGGACCTTGGAATCCAAAGTCTGAAGTTGAACTTTTCCTTGAAAATAAAAGGGACATTTAACAATTATAGATATATGATTATTATACTAAGTAACATCATTTCCGGTAAGCCCTAGTGGTTTTGTTCCAAGTTTCACAAGGAAACCAGCCCAATCAAAGCCCATAATCACGTGTTCACGGCGTAACTGAGGCTCAATCTGTTGATGGCTTGAGTTCCTTGATCATCGTTTGTGCCCACGTTTTCACCTCAGCTTTGTCATGCTTTGTCCAACCTCACTTCCCACCGATGGCAGTGGCGACATGTTGCGACTAATTAGAACCGTCCCGACACGGGACATCACACACAACCGGAGCTGTTCACCCTTGCAGTTTGCGCGCACAAGGGTGATCAATGTGTTGCTCTCAATTTTAGCGGTTCGTCAGGTTAATCTTTTGCAGATCTCATCAAGTAAGCATGGATTGGATTTCAGTGTGCCAGCCGCTTCGCATTCAACCACATGGGTTTTAGACCGTGGTTGACATGTTCCCCTCGGACCCGGAGAGGTCCATGTAAAACCCTGACAGACGAGCTGGACCCTATCAGCCGCATGTTGTGAGCCTGTGGATCTTATTCTCAGGCTTCAGTTTGGTTTGCTCCAGACCTGCGGTGTTTCTAAGGATCGCCCACATGCCGCGAAGCAGCTGATCCATGCAAAGGCACAGGTCAATATGGCCGGTGCGTGTGGAGCTCAGGGAGAGGGGAAGATAGGTCAAGTTAGCTTTAGCTCAAAAAGTCAGAAGGAAATTTGTGAAAACAACAAAACAAAAAAAATACTGTACACTACTAGTTGCCTTTCTCGGATTGTGTGATCAAAATCTCACATATTTCATATTACATCATATATAATATTAATTATTAATTCATACTACATATATAGTTAGTGTTGTTCAAGGTCTTTGCTTTCATGCCCCGTTCGTACTGAAGCGAGTTGGTGTCAAATGTGCTCTCGTGATGAGCCTGAGGAAAGGACAAACAGCCATGTTGATGGCTGCTTCCAATGACTTGAGACTCGTGGCGAAGGCGTTGATCATGGGCAACGCAGATGTCAACCAGGCTTGACGTGGTCGATGGCTACATGAAGGAGACTCACTCAGTTGACCAATAGATGGCTTCAGGCTCAAGACACGTCTAAGGCCTGTATCCAGTCTCGGATCATTGAGAGATTCTATTCTTCGTGTCGGTACGAATCCGTCTGGGCACATCGGGACACCGTGTTCAGGCCAATGCGAAAGGGGAGAGCCCTTTGTCGGTCTCCGAACAGTTGGGCTACAGGGGCGTCGCTCGCTCCTTAGAATTCCAAAAACATGTCCCATGGCTGCATGTTTGTAATCTCATTGGAAGACTGGCTGTTTCGTTCTATTTGATCTTGTTCTTGGGGAGTCAAAGAAGGAACATGGGATGACCTTCCAGGTAAGGACATTCCAAAACAAGGACCCGCAGGACCGCCGACCTCGCCCTCCCTTACAAGGCGGATCTCCTGAAGAGCGCTGGCGCCCTGCCGCCCAAGGGCAAGAAGGGCAAGAAGGGCCGTTCCTCGGCGAAGTAGGGCGGGGCCATGGGCCACGGGCAAGCGCGCCGACGAGCGGAAGGGATGAGATCGCCGGCTCTGAGATCTGCGGATGCACAATGACATCCTGAGAGAGATCCTTGTGTCAGGTATACCAATGTATACCATAATTTAATAGACTGTAGATTGTAATTATCTATAACATGTTGATTTCTAATGATTTCTATAGTATACACCATAATACCCGCCAGGGGATGTCCAACATTTAGAAACCCATGGAATTTAGTTCCTCAGAGTGACCTTGCGCATTTTTTTAAAGGAGGACTTGTCCACCACGGTGGCTGGGCACCATGAAGGGGCCGCTCGTTCATGTCGGGGGGGGTCATCGGATCATCGGACCGGCTCCGACCATGTTTGATGCAAAGTATGCCAAGTTCGGCGCGTTTGCTTCGCCAATTTGCAGAAGGCTTCTTTTTTTGCATGTCGAGTGAAACATCATTTTGATCTTTCACGGTCTAGGTCTGCTGTTGAAGTCCTCGACCCGGCTGCGACCCGCCGTCCTTTCTCCCAGGAAAGTAGCGGGGCGAAACCGGCCGGTCGAGGACGCGCATCGCACGACGCCGGGAACCCCGAAAGGATGCGTTCGTCGGGACCGTTTGGGACTGTGACGAGATGTGAAGAGAGAATAGAAATCGATAGACGTTCTGTTATAGTTCTTAAGTTCCTATTACATCCTATTACAGAGATCTAACTATAGGTTCCTATTGTCTTTTGGGACTATTCGAGTCTATAGACGTTTTGTTTGCGAAATAACCGACTCGAACGGAATCACATGGAATTACATTCGTTTTTCGCAGCTTTCGGAGGACTTCACCTTGTAGAGCACCGTGAGATCTCTTCACACCTGGCTGGTGAGTTGGGTGCAAGTCTGTAGTGACCCTCCGATGATAGAATGATGAATTCCCTTTTTAACTTGTTAAGGTCCTTGACACATGGTTTGAATCTCTAACCCAGTTGTGAAGTGCTTGTATTGCTTCTGTTGGGCGATCGCAAATCGACCCTTGAACAGCCAGCCTGGTCCAGCCCAGTCTTCCAAACGGAAACTGGTTTGACCCGCAATTTGTTCACCAAAGTGGTGCATGCAAAGTCAAAAAGAGCACTCCCCGGGCCGACACTTGTTGCAGAATGGATCATCTTGCAGAGTTCCCAGACTGACGCTTGTTCCTAGCAGTTAAACGTATATAATTTATATAAACATATTGTCAACAAGTGGCAGCCTTTGCTTCAGCATCGCAGTTAAATTTCCTTCTTACACTTCGCGTAGACATGGCATAGAAAAATATGGAAAGGTGTTATTTTAAGTGTTTATGGATGCACAATTGAAATGCAAAAATAATTAATCGTTTGGAGAAATTTGATGTTCAAACCTTGAAACTAGGCTCAGGGTCACAAAAAGGGATTGTTACCACGTGTTTTGGTGGTAGAATGTGGTAGAGGTAGAGGCATCAATAATATTCAATAATTAATTTCTTCTGAGCTACCAAGATTCCATGTCAAAGCCACCACATGCAAGGGAGTTTAGGTGACCAGGTGACTTTACCCTTCTCTCACCGCCAAATCGGCGATGTTCTGAAAGAGGCAGGGCTCGTTCCCTACACCCACGCTCGTCCTGTTCTGCAGGGCTCGTCCCAGGTCTCCCCACGCCTTGGCGGCGGCCAGATCTTCTCAAAAACGCCTCGGCCACGGTCGATGGCCACACCATGGTTACTGCTGGGTTCTTTGCTCCATTGGGCTGTGGCCGGCGGCACGGTCCATGTGAAGCATACGCTGATGCTTCCAGAGGTGGCTGTTCAGAAGTTGCGCAGCATGTGCATTGCTGAGAGGAAGCGAGATGTGGACCTGGTCTCCAGCTGGATTCAAACAATTTGGAGAGACATCAGGGAAAGCGAAGATGCGGAAGATGGCAAGGTTGTCCAGGATGCCATGGAACAACCAGAACTTGGTGTAGTAGAAGATGATGTTGAAAGCTTTTTGGGGGAGCTTTCCCCAGCGGTTCTAGCTGCTTTGAAGAGACCAAGCTTTATAGATGGGTTAGACTTGGAGCCAAGAAGACAATACACGCTTCAAGTCAACGGTCAGAGATTGAAAGACCTTGCCGGAGCCGATCGACGCTTGGTGGTCTCTTGGACCACCGGAGGCCCGAAGCGATGGTCCATCGCGCTGAACTTGGGACTGTCCATCCGGAAGAATGCGCCAGAGTTGGAAGCGATCTTTGTGTTCATTGCCTTGGATCCAGATGCTTTGGAAAGAGCAGAGGCCGCTGGGTTCAATGCGGTGCTGCAGGATCGGAGTGGCTTTGGAGGGGATTTGGAAGATGAGATTTGGAAGATGCGCTGGCTGATTCAGACCACCTGCGTGGCATTAGGTTTGGAGGTGCTTGTTGTGGACTCAGACATTGTAATCCTGTCGAACCCCTTCCAGCACTTCTATCAAGATTCAGATATTGAGGCCATGACCGACCACTTTTTCCCGGCCAAGCACTTGTGGGCCACGTGGTTGCGTCCAGCTGAACACATCAATACAGGATTCTTGTTCATTCGCCCATCCACAAGAGTTCTTGATCCCTGGCTGCCAGAGGTCGCTACTTTTGGCTAACTTAGCAGCAGAGTCGTTAGGATCCTCTAAGATAGACATCGTCCCTGACAGTGTACACACTTGATATTGCCAACGTTTGCTTGGGAGAAGATCATTTTCCGATGGCCGACTCACCCACAAGACTTGTGGGCGCCGAGGAATTCTTGGTGGAATTCATCGATGCTCATTACTATTCCTATGAAGGACCGACTCTGCGAGACGGGATGGATCAGCGGGTCTTCAACAAGTTTGTCATGAGCAAAATGGAGAAGCGAGCACACCTGCCCTGTGCCGGGGTGCCCGCGACCATGCGACCATTGTAAGTAAAAGAGAGAAGACAAGCAGCACATTGTTCTGACAGTTTTTCGATGTTTTTAGTGAACAGAGTTACAAGTTGTTCGTTTATGGTTCGTCTCCCAAAGAACATTCTTATGCGTCTCCCATGATTGCGTGATCGTTTGGAAGCACGCGCTGGCCGCTCAAGATCAAGGTCATTAGCCGATATGAAAATATGACATTCGCCGGCTTGGATTCTCAGTCGCAAACTCCGAATGGTCGCTGGAGCCGGTGTCAGGGTATGGTTGGTGTCTTGCTGTGCAAAGAAGGCGTTGGTTGTTTGGGGGGTGTCTTGCTGTGCGTTTTGGTTGGTTGTTTCAAGATGCAGAGGCCAAATGTGGGTCACCTTCCACTCCACTTCTCCTCTTGGGTGTAAGATGATGTGGCACAGTTGATCACACAAGCAAAGCAATCATTATATAAATATATAATAGCTTATTATACTACATGTCTGTGATGTTAAAAATGGATGTGAAGGAGTCCTCAACTCCCACCCAATCTTCGCTACTTCACATCATGTTTAACAAGATGGGAGCAACTACAGATTCAGTTCACCGCGTAAGCTTGAGCATTGTCCCATTCGGTGTCTTCTGCTCAGAGTAGACGCTGGTTTGGCAAAGCAGCACACTACTTGAAAAGCCTATTCATTGCCATAGAGAAGTTGTAGCCACGAGCTTCAACCCTAATGTAGTTCGATGGTTCATGAGAGTGTTTCAACTCTCCTGCTGATTGACAAATATCCTGCACCTTCGCAGGAGGTCTCCAGGCATTTTCGCTTCTCTGTTGGTATTCTTTGGCAACAGGAATTGATGTGTTTGCTCACTCCATTGGCACCGTCGGGAGTCTCCCCACCTAGGATTGGCAAGGTCAGACGACGCGTTTCTTGCCCAGAGAAGGATGGACGGCGCACGGCACTACTCGAGGCTGCGGAGTGTCCTTGCGTCTCTTGGACCCTGTGACTTGGCATGTCCTGTACGCGATCCTGTTTCGTTGTCAATGTAAGACATGAGGAGAATGTCCCAAACTCGGGATAATAGACATGAAGATCAAGGCGATATGTGTGTTTCAGTTCTTGTGGGCCATTACGTAGCAAACTTGAGGAACGTGTCCATAAATGTGAAGAGTTCTCACCCTTTTGGTCGTTTGGTTGGAAACACAAAGAAATGGATCTATGATGGCCGGTTACCCAGATCACCGGCCCCTAAAGAACCGATTCAGACACCCTGGTTTGACAAAGCTGCCGAAACTCAGCTCGGAATGGAATGAGAAACCAGGTCTGCATCTCCCATGGCATGAACTACTTTTGGCGGAAGGCGGCTGTCTGCAAGGAAGAGGATAATATTTCTAGGTAGTTCCGCGCACATCTGGTGGTGAAACTGCCACAGCACTGTGACTTGTGTCATGTGTTTGCCCAAGGAGTACTGTGGTTGGTTCCTTTGGGGTCCTAAGTAGAAATCATGTTTGCGCAGAAGCTCGCTAGTGAAAAACATGATGTTCTTACCAACCGAATCTTGACCGGCACCTACAAGAAGTTGCAAATTGCCTACAAGAATTCATTGCTTGCAACGAAGGTTTCAATGTATTTCGAGGGACTAAGCGGTGCAAACATCGACAGGCGTACAAGCTTGGGCACTGTGGTGGCAAAGCTGGCAATTTACCAGCGGTGGTACACGTCAACGGAGTCGATCCAAAGATGTATTTTCTGCGTGGCCTTGGCGGAGACCGCTTCTTTGAAAAGGGAGATACTTTTGTTGGAGAGTAGTCAGAGTAGTACTTTGAATGTCAGATGTCAGAGCGGAGAGGAAGAATGCAAAGCACCAGTAAGCAGTATGGGAGTCAGCAGAAGTGGAAACAAAAACGGGGAGGAAACAGCGGTGAGGATGGAGGATGCTGTTTGTGTCTATTGATTCATGTATGTTAAGTATGATTCTCTCCATGCAGAGGTGACAGAAATCTCTGGTATGTGGACGATTGGGATCAGCGCTTTGACAAGTCCTCCGCCTTCTTGATGTATGACCACCCAAGGGGTCTTACATTGGCAGACGATTTCGAGGTTCTCGTTGCTGCAATTGAACTCGGGGCATATTTCCGACGTCGTGTGGTACTGCCGGACACAATGAATTGTGCCAACAGCCCTACCTTCAACATTTACAACCTCAGCACAACGATGGCGGATGAACCCGGCTGTACGCATCTTGCTTGCCTAGTGCACCAAGCCAGATCGGTCAACTAAAGACATGTCATTTGTCAATGGTGCAAGTTTCCGTAGCAGCTTAGGTACGACTATTTTGCACATGCAAACGGCTTGTATGAAGTGTACTCGAGAGTGAAGCGACTCGAGACTGCACTTATTTGTGATTAGCATTGAGGCAACGATCATCATTACCCCATTTGCTGCCTCGTGTGACCCATGTGTCGGGGCTCAAGACGAGCCGTCATCCCCTGTGTCCTGGGAACCTCCCGACCTGGGTCTTTGATCTAGATCACACGAAGAAAGGGTGGTCCCGAAACGAACCAAGCGCGGCATCACAAGGTAGCAAAAACAACCAAAGCGCTTCAGAATATACATGTCGGGACCTTCCAGGCCCTTTGCATATCACCATCCACCACATGAAAAAAGGAAAATGTATTGAGTGGTCCGTTGATGGCGCGGCTGAGTCGCAAGCACCAAAGATACTGGATCCACCAATTTGGTTGAAAATGATTCATTTCACCGTTCTGGACCATGTGGGATCCACCTTCTTCAGAAGGCTGATGACTGAAACAATTTGTTGGAACCAGCCTAAATGGCCTAAAACTCATTGGAACTGAGTGGATGTGCCGACCCGTCCAGCATCGATCCACCCGAGTGAGCCCAAGGCCCTACAGCATTGAGGCAGGGCTGAAGCGTGAGCCGCGCTTCCAGCAGCTCTCGGTGAGGAACATCTCATCCTTGGAACTTCGTAGAGCCATCAAAGAGGAGCTGCAGGAGAGGATGTGAAGCAAGATGCCATGGATGGCATCGTGTGTTCGTAAGGGTTGTAGTTAGTTGTTGTGTGTGTATATTTTCCCAGCAAGTGTTCCAGGGATAGCACAAGCAACGGATGTTCATTCTACTAGAATCTACTAGGTGTTGACAGGTGATACAGTATTTGTTTGGGAATCTCTCCAAAGTGTGGTCACATCGCCTTTCACAGTCGGTGGCTGCGACCCTCGACAGGACACGAAGCGCGTCGCCTTTGGCCCTGCACAAGTCCTTCGTATCACCGATGATGTCCGCGATTTGCGAGATGGTCTACGAAGCGGGCAGTTTGGTCTTCGGATGAACCGAGAGCGTGTTTTCAGTTGTGCCTATCAAGAACCACTGATTGGTGCCATGGCATGTTTGGATGAGCCATACGTGGAGGAATTTGGTGTCGATGCCATGTGTGATGCACAGAAGTTCAAGCATGGATGTGGGCCAGTTGGAATTTGCTGCTGTTGGCCATTTTGGGGGTGGGGTGAAAAGCTACAATACTTCACCGGAGTTCCATGGGATTTACCTTGCAACTGTGGCCTTTCGGTCTGCGAAGCCTATGAGCGCGAGCAATCCCACGTCGAAAGCTGCTGTCGGCATACTGGGAGCACCGCGTTGTTTCCGGTCACAGACCCAGGGGTCTTCTACTGCAAGGGTAATGGCAGTGGCTTGGCAGCAAGGGTTTGCTGTAGCCCAACAAGCACAAACAGATGGACTCAAGAAGTTTCATGTGGACTAGCTGCTACGTAGGTTTTGCTGACCCTAGGAAATCACAAAGGAACGGGCCACAGTGACTGGATGCAGACGTGGCAATGTTTGTGCATCAAACATCCTTGTAGAGATCAAAGATCCTTGTCAGACTTGATACATCGGCTCGAAGTCAGGCTGGTCTGGCCCAACGGGAGCAGAGGAGCTCCGGGTGTTTAACATTATGCACACAGTGGCAGATTTGTTGTGCATTGCTTCCGAGATGATTGATGATAATTGATGATGCTAATTGTATGTGTTTCAAGAGTTGCTTTGTGTTATCAATGCTTGTTTGCATAGTCAATGAACCCAGTGAATCATATCCACATGTTGAAGAACCAACATTGAGGTTCAGTTTTCGAGCAGAGCAGTGTGGAAACATGCACGTTGAAGTTGGGGAGAACTTGTCAAGTTGCTTCACATTGTGCAATGAACGTTCAATACTTGAGAGTTAAGAGTACTTCGGTGTCCACAGGACAGCAATACCTACACCTCTCAAGCTTTGATCGAATTCGCAGCCCAGAAGCGTTCTGCTTCTCAAAGCTTTCGGACCTGTAGCTCCTTGGGAGAGAGTCGGCGTTGGCGGTCGTCGGACATGTGTTGCTGATCGTTTCGAGGAAATGTGGGTGGTTTGTCATGGTTTCTCTACCATTCTCTACCTACAAATTGACAGTGATAGCCGCTGTGGCAAAGGTTTGCGAACGTTGTCTAAGGTATCAACGCCTGGCGCGGTGAAGGGGAAGAGTGCCCCTGTCCGGATCACCCACCCTTTTTCGGTGGTCGGTGAGTCACCTGGTGAGTCAACCGGCAGAAAAAGAGACCTGGGACACAGTCCCACTGGTAAGGGTCGGTCCAAGATGATCACGATGTCTTTGGGGGGGTCAAGGATGGTCAAGGCCTTCAGCATCCTGTAAAAACCATCATCCACCTGACAGAAGAAGTACCTAAAATATCCTAAACTTACTTCTTACATCACTTGTGGGTCGTTGGTGACTCGGCCCGACCACTGGAGCAGACCTGTTTCATCCGCCGCGACGGATCGTTGGCCCGAAACCTCGACCGAGAAAGGTGATCGTTGGTCGATCGTCCGCCACCTCGTCCACCAAGGTTTGGATCGTTTGTTGCGACGGGGTGATGCCTTCCAGGAGACCACTTTGAGGTCATGTCACTTGGGCACATGACCTGGGCACCACTTGGGCACCGTCGCTGGGCAGCGGTCCCGTTGGGGCGTTTCCTCCCGTTCTCGGGACCAAAAGGACCCACCCTGCTGAAGCTATGGAAGATCGAAAGTGAGAATTGTAAACGGAGAATTCATAATATTCACTGAACTAGTGTAATCTGAGTTTATTCTTGATGTTGTTATTATTCTTGATGTGAACATGATTGACTTCCTACAGTGACTCACGTTGGGGTAGGAGGAGTTGAGTTCTCAGATGTTTTCTCGCTATGCATGTGCGCTAGACACACATCTTTGGAGGATGGATGAAGCTGATACTAGTAGGTACAAAAACAATTGTCTTTTTCTTCACGGCACGCGCTGCTTGCAAGTTCATCAGATCAACCGAACCTAGAAGCATTGTTTGGAGCTGATATGTTTTGCACAGCTTGTCTTCTAGTTGATATGCTTGGCACATATTTCATGAGATATGCACAAGAACACCAAAGCTTAGTCTGAGATTTGGAACCACTACCTTTCAAGCATTGGGTACATGTACATGCAAATGACTCATGTGATGTGTTCTTTGTAGAGCACCGAACAAAAAGAACACACTGAGCTACAGAATGCATTAGAGTTATATAAGCAGTCTCGGAAAGGAAACTGGTTTCATGGTAGAGCGACGGAATGTTTCCAATGCTTCTGCTCCCAAGGCAACCTCCAGTTCAGTCGGGTCCCGAGTGATTTGGGTCCATCCTACGTTTTGTTGCCAGATGGCTGGAGTATTGCAGTAGTTTGACAGATATGTTTGGCAAAGGGAAGCCCACCGTTGTTTGGCAAACCAGCTATGTGTCGTATAGTTCCTATTGACCAATATGATCCAATATGTTTGTCCGCTGCGACTCGTTTGCGAACACTCCTGCAGTTGTACATGAAGGCCGTCGGGTGTCCGTCGTGCCGGTGTGGTTCCTTGAGGTTCCTACTTGCTGCGACGGTTCATGTGGCCACAGCTGCGCATTTGGTGGGCTCAGACCTGAGAGCCCGAGTCGATGAACAAGACTGGCGACCACGGACAGAGAACTCAGCAAGTAGGATGACTGATGGAGTTTCTAGCCCCTTATTGTTCTTGCTGGCTCACAACTCACGACTCATCACTAGGATTGGCATGATGTGTGCTACGGTCCCAGACTTATGTTTGGAACGCTCGGATGAGCTCAATCGACCAACCCGACCAGATCGACCGTTCGGGGCGACGTGACTCATCAGGACGAAGATGTTTGAAGCACCCCAGCAGCGATTGGCGCGCCCCTTCTTTCGGCTCAAAGCGTCGTTTTGTTCGGAGTCGCGTTTGGGTCGGCAATCGACTGCTACTGGTTTCTGGTGGAACAGTCATCACAACCAGCTTTGATGGAAAATCTCTAGTGATTCAAGATGTTGAGGTATTGATCCAGGTATCTCCAATGTTGAAGTTTTTTCGATTGTCCAAAGAGAGAATTGTAGCCACCATCACAGTGTTGGTGACATAATATCGGGTAGGGCTAGAAAGCAACCCTCAATCGTGAAATCGGTGGACCTGTGACCTAAGTCTTGCGTAAGTGCATCTCTTGGTATTTTGAGCAATCGCCATGGGCTGAACATGGCGCCCTAGGAACTGCCCCGTCCGCCACGTCCGCCACTCCTCCATGATACGGCGAATCCTGCCCACCAACGACTGGGACCATGATCGTGACGTTGCTGCCAGTGTCTTGGTTCGAGTTCCCGAACTGAGCCGATGGATTGAGTCAGTTCTTTCAAGGGGCTTCGTAAGGCATTTGTTTGATCCACTCCAAGGATCCTCCACTGTTTTGCACCGCAGTCTGGGCTGAAAATCCTTTTCTCCAAATGGAACCAACAAGCGATGTCAGGTGCTTTAGCGGCACATCAATTCTCACCGCCTTGGGCCTTTCCAACGGTCAATGAGCTGAGATGCAAATTGGGTCATGGCTTCCCGGCAAGAGGATGAACTCATGATGGGCGGGTCCTGCGCGTTTGGAGAACGAAGCGACGATCGGTTCGAAAGTTGTTCGATCCTCAACTCGAATGGATCTTGAAGCATTCAAAGGAATGGCCTCCACCTAGTAGCTTCTAGTTACTAAGAAAGCTTTATTACTAAGATGCTTTCAATGAAAATACTAAAAAGCTTCTTGTTACTACAGGTGAAACGATTCCCAAGGATGTCTCCATGGAAGGGGGGAAGTCATCCTTCCGTGCCCAGTGTTGAGGCAGTTCTGCCCTCGAGCTGCAAGAAAATATGTTCAATGATTTTCATATGTCTGGTTTATTTTCCATGATTTTCCGGTTCAGGGCTAATTTGTGAGGGTCGCAAAGACAACACAATGGCACAATGACCTGAGTCAAAAAAACGCAAACAGTCCCACGTCACTCATCTATGGAAATCACCATGAGTATTGGAGTTGTTCTTGTACGACCTTTGCCGAGTTGACACACTCGGTGAGAGAAGCAGAATCGCTGAAGAGGAGAGTCCTGGCATGTTGGCGCGTTTTCAAGGGTGCAGTTTTGCTTTAAGCCCGAAGCTCAAAGCTCGAGGGGCCTGGTACCTTCCGCACGCGGGGCTGATAGGCTGTGCTGGATCTGGGCCTTTGAAAACAGCGGCGGAGCGGGTCGAAGAAGCAGCCCAGCAGGAGGCAGGGTGTGGCGACGTTGTGGTGTCAAGGGCTAGAAGTGTCTGTGTTAGGGGAACTGGCGAACCCACCGGCTGAACCGGACCTTGCAGACTGGTGTCCCGACCTTGCAGACTGCACGGTGACCCAAATGTGACCGACCTCGGCCAACGAAGCGATTCGCATGCTTCCAGAATCCAGAATGCGTCGTCAACCCAATGGACCCTACAGGAGTGCAGCTTTCATTAAAAGACACTGTAGGATACTGTAGGCCTACTTTTCGCTGTGAATGTCAAGCAGTGCAAATGGCTGCCTGCATGAGGGCTCGAATGGCTGCCTGCAGGAGGGATCACAGGCAGTCGAACGATCTCCCGAAGTGTGTTTCCCCTTGATCGCCTTGTGGCAAACGAGTCGAAAAAAGATTCAGAGATATGCCCCTGTCCCTCGTCAAGTCGAGGCTGACACCGTGTTTCTCCACTAATCCCATGTAAGCACTCGTTAAACAGCGTTTGGTATGTTTGGTTTTCGGTACCATTCGTGAGGCCAAGATCGAAGCGGCCAAAATGGCCATGAAAGAATATGACGAAAATGGGAAGCCCAAGGGTCCACCTGGATGGCCCTTGGGAGTGCGAAGCTATGATAAGACGGTGTGGATGCTTGGATGTGTTGGATGATGTTGGATGTGTTTTTCCTTGAGAAGCAAACACCTACCAAGAATGTAGGTTCTGAACAAGGACCTCGCCTTTTTCTGGGTCAATTGGTCAAAACCTCGGCTCTTCGGTGAAAACCTCGGGCTGTCCAAGAAAAGAGCCTTGTGAGGAAACGTTCATGAACTTTCTATGTCGCACCAAGATGTTCTTTTGTCATGCCCAAAACATTGTTTCTTTTAGGTGCCCATGATGATATTGGGACACTGTTTAAGAAGAACATGAAAAACCTGCTTTTTTATGCTGTGGACAGCGAACCCGCGGAAACCCGTAGCAAACCATGGTGAACCCGTAGATACTCGTAAAAGACAGGGTTCTCAGAAAAGCCTCGCCTTTCCCAACCCGTAGAGAACTCGTAGAAACCCGTAGAAATGGGTCCCGGGTTCAAGCCCAGAGGACGTCATTTCATCGCTTTGTAGTGAATCTTTGTGGCTGGCACGCTCATCAACATGTTTAAAGTACATGTTTGTTTTGTGCTATGTAAATAAAATGTGAAAAGCTTTAAACATCAATATCTTTGGTTTTCTCACAAAACCTCGTCTTTTCACATGGGACCTACGTTTTGATAGGTGTTTGTTTCCTCAGGTAGACCATCGTGCCGTTTTCGAGGGATGGATATTGCAAGGTGCCGGGATGGATGGAGTACGTTAAAAGGCAAAGGCGGGTGGGTAGTAGCGATGCCCTACTAGTAGCGATGCACGTGCTACTAGTAGCTTCTAGCTATTAGTAGCGATGCTTCAGTTCCTAATATATAGCGGAGCTGAAGTGAAATGGAACTTTGGATACTTTGGCATCTTCCCCTGAAGAGCGTATAAGAGCGTTCTCATCACTGATCACCCTTTTCCTCGATTTTCTGCATGTGCTGCATGGCTCCTTTGGTCGAGACCTGTTTAAAAAAAGGAACAAGATGGAGCCCACGAACCCGAATGCAAACACATACGTCAAACCACTGTGTACAAAAAGACACATAGCCGGTGGGAATCTCTTTTTCACTCTCTGACACGCTGTTGGACATCATGCGCTGGGGACTCCACCACCAAGGCAGCATGCGCTGGGGACTTCACCACCAAGCTCTGTCTTCATCATGAAGGATTTTTGTTTTGCATTCAAATCAAGCACTGGCGTAAAGGTTCTGGCAGATCCGCGGCACGAAAGAAACAATGGCATTGTCCCAAAATCTCGAAAATAAGCACTTGAAAATGATAACCGTCCACATAATACAGAGAAATCCACAATTGCGGCGTCTGATCTTCTTGTAAATAGGAGTGCAAGACCGTGCGTTGTTGTGGTTCGCCTGCATCGACAAGAAGTATATGAGACACACACAACGGAAGTGAAGAAAACTATCCTATAGGTTATGTCATTAGTCCAACATTCGTGTGGATTTATCGCACACAGGTTTGTTAGATGTGTCACCGGAGCCTCGAACAACAGACGTCTGGGTCCAAGTATTTCCAGCAATGATGAAGCCAAGATTGAGCTCCGTGGCCAACGCAACAAAGTCGACGTCCGTTGCCCAATGAGTATTCCCACAAGTTTCGAGAGCAGTGCTCACGGCATCCTGCAAAGACACCAGGGCCGCAGTGCCAGAACGCACTCTCTTGCTCCTCGTCACGGAGCTGTCGCCCTCTTTGTAGCGAACTAGCATGGCGTCGTCTGCAACTTCTGCTCCGAGGACATCGTTGGCGTCTTTCCAGAAAGCAAAAGGAGAGCCACGCAAGAGTGCGATCATGGACCAGTCGTCCAGCCATGTCCTCGCAGCTTCGCGCACCAAACACCCTACGACGAAGTTCAAGAATGCTTTTGGCGTCTTGGCGCGCATGTGTCGCCCAACAATCTTGCGGAGAGCAGCCGCAACCGTAGTTCGGTCGTCCCAGTCAGCCACCTGGCAGCCACCTCATCGGAAGTGAAAAGATTCAAGAGTCGTGGGTGGACTGCTCGCGCCTGCATCAGGACGACCGCAGTGGACAAGAAGAAGCAATCGCCGCCTCCACCAGCTTCGGCGGCAAAGACACGCAGAGCCCCGTGTTCTCGGAAAAATTGCGCCGTGGGAGCGGCCACCTCTTCCAGCACAAGAGACTCAGATGTCGCAGAAATCCGTTCGCAGCTGACGCCACTTGGTGGGTTCCCGAGCGTTTGGTACGAGACTTCCTCCAAAAGTCACGGCGTCAAGTCTCAAAAACGAGCGTTTCGTACGAGTACGAGACTTCCT